TGGGTGGTTATAGAATAGGAGCTGCCACGTATGGGCCAATAGGCCTTCTGCAGTTACCTTTGTTCTTATGTTCTTATGTTCCCTGGTTACCATAACATCATATTAGAACATAAGAACAAGGTAACTGCAGAAGGCCTATTGGCCCATACGAGGCAGCTCCTATCTACAACCACCCAATCCCACTCATAAACATATCCAACCCACGCATAATTTGTTGAGTGAACAGGTTGTAGTGGGCGACTGCATGTGAGTACATGTCACTTCTGCATGTTACTTTTTTATGTGAAGCTTCCCAATTATAAATATACTACCATTTATGAATAAAGTTTCTGATTGACTGTAAATGTTAATTTACAATTTTTTGTAGCAAATAATGTTCTCTCATGATTTTCCCAACTGATAACATTTGGTGTCTGGAGTAATCAGACATAACGGCATCTAAAGAATTTCTGTGTTCGTGTAAGTTTATTGAAATAAAACACATCCCCAAAAGATTGAGCAGATTAGGCTATTGATATCCTTTAAATGCTTAGTGCTTTCTTCCAAGCCTTCCAAGACAACTCAAATATTTTGTTTTTTGTAGTGAGTTGATTTTCTTCTATAACTTAAACTTTTAATTTGTATCAAGATTCCTTAAAACTAATTTGAAAATGGAATTAAATCACATGTAATATCGGTAATGAAGTATGAAGCATCAAATTTCACGAAAATGACACATACTTTGGAGAGAATTTGCAAAATATGATTTTTTGGAAAGCTATCTCTTCTGTAGTGGCCAGATAAACATTACTGCGCCTTAGGTTGTGGACTCTGTGTAATTCACAGTGTAACTGTAACAGTGATGTAACCCCGGGTATCCCACAACTAACGGGAACAATGTGATGATGATGATTGATTGATTGAGGAAGATTAAGCCACCCAAAAGGTGGCACGGGCATGAATAGCCCGTAAGTGGTGGCCCTTTTGAGCCATTACCAGTATCAAGAGCTGATACTGGAGCTCTGTGGAGGTGCGACTGCACCCTGCGTGACGGGGGGAGATGTCTCCCGTGGACAATGTGAATGCATGTAATTATGAATATAATGAGTCCCAGTAACAATGTCGCTGTAAATCCCATGTCAGGAAAGTGGCGAGGAGTACGGAAGGTGGTGAAGAGAAAGGAAAGTAATGAGGAGTAAGGAAATTGGTGAGTGGTAGAGTAAGTAGTGATGGATTGAGAAAGTGGTGAAGAGGTAGGGAAGATGGTGAAAGGGTAGGGAAAGTGGTCAGGGGGGAAGGGAAGGTGGTGAAGCGAAGGTAGGATGGAGAGAACAGGTGGTGAAGGGATAGGGGGCGTTTAGAACTCTCCCTAATTTCCATCATTACGGGCTCACCATAGCCCGTGCTACATGGACACTTCGTCCTGAGTAGCTAAATCTTTAACAACAACAACATCCATGAGAGTTTGGAAGCTGAGATGAACACACTTGGTCCGGGAGACATCTCCCGTCACGCAGGGTGTTGTCGCACCTCCACAGATCTCCAGTATCATCTATTGATACTGGTGATGGCTCAAAAGGGCCACCACTTACGAGCTACTCATGCCAGTGCCACCTTTTGGGTGGCTTCATGTTCATCTTATCACATTCACAAGGAAGACATCTCCCGTCACGCAGGGTGCATTCGCACCTTCACAGATCTCCAGTATCAGCTCTTGATACTGGTGATGGCTCAAAAGGGCCACCACTTATGGGCTACTCATGCCCATGCCACCTTTTGGGTGGCTTAATCTTCATCTTAAACACATTTATAAGGGAGACATCTCCCGTCATGCAGGGTGCATTCGCACCTCCACAGATCTCCAGTATCAGTTCTTGATACTGGTAATGGCTTAAAAGGGCCACCACTTACGGGCTATTCATGCCCGTGCCACCTTTTGGGTGGCTTAATCTTCATCAATCAATCTTCATCAATCTGAGATGAACAGACTGTTGGATCAGTGTCGGAAGAGATTACAACCTCTGAAGTCTCTGGCATGCTGTGGAAAGGGAGTAGGAATCGATTGATTGATGATTGATGAAGATTAAGCCACCCAAGAGGTGGCACGGGCATGAATAGCCCGTAAGTGGTGGCCATTTTAAGCCATTACCAGTATCAAGAGCTGATACTGGAGATCTGTGGAGGTGCGAATGCACCCTGCGTGACGGGAGATGTCTCCCGTGTTTTAAACAGATGAAGAAGATGAAGATGAAGCCACCCAAAAGGTGGCACGGGCATGAATAGCTCGTAAGTGGTGGCCCTTTCGAGCCATCACCAGTATCAAGAGCTGATACTGGAGATCTGTGGAGGTGCAAGTGCACTCTGCGTGACGGGAGATGTCTCCCATGAATGTGTCCAAGATGACGATTAAACCATCCAAAAGGTGGCACGGGCATGAATAGCCCGTAAGTGGTGGCCCTTTTGAGCCATTACCAGATCAAGAGCTGATACTGGAGATCTGTGGTGGTGCGAATGCACCCTGCGTGACGGGAGATGTCTCCCTTGTGAATGTGTTAAGATGAAGATGAAGCCACCCAATAGGTGGCACGGGCATGAATTGGTAAGTGGTGGCCCTTTTGAGCCATCACCAGTATCAATAGATGATACTGGAGATCTGTGGAGGTGCAACTGCACCCTGCGTGACGGGAGATGTCTCCCGGACCAAGTGTGTGGTGGGTAGGAATCCCTGTGCTACAAATGATATAGTTGAGTACTGTAAGATCCCTTGTTGATTATGCTGCACCTGTTATTTCTTGGTTTGGTAAAGGTAAAGTGGACAAGTTGGAGAAGGTATAAAATAAAGCAATGAGAATACTCTTAAGATGCCCTAGAAATGCTATAATTCAGATAATGAGGATGTAATTGAATTTGAAGAGTATTGGGGATAGAATTTCAGAGATAAATGTAGCCTCTGCCATTAGATTAATGAAAGGGGGGGGGAGCTAATGAATTAATCCTCTCAGTTCAGAAGGTGGGAAGTAATGAACAATGTATGATAATGAATAATAAGAGAGCATATATGAGTACCTTACGTTTTAATGTTATAAAAAATGATGTTATTCCAGAATGTACAGGGGCTCACCATAGCCCGTGCTACTTGCCCCGCTCCTGTGCCAGGTAAGTTACGGGCTCACCATAGCCCGTGCTACTTGCCCCGCTCCTGTGCCAGGTAAGTTACGGGCTCACCATAGCCCGTGCTACTTGCCCCGCTCCTGTGCCAGGTAAGTTACGGGCTCACCATAGCCCGTGCTACTTGCCCCGCTCCTGTGCCAGGTAAGTTACGGGCTCACCATAGCCCGTGCTACTTGCCCCGCTCCTGTGCCAGGTAAGTTACGGGCTCACCATAGCCCGTGCTACTTGCCCCGCTCCTGTGCCAGGTAAGTTACGGGCTCACCATAGCCCGTGCTACTTGCCCCGCTCCTGTGCCAGGTAAGTTACGGGCTCACCATAGCCCGTGCTACTTGCCCCGCTCCTGTGCCAGGTAAGTTACGGGCTCACCATAGCCCGTGCTACTTGCCCCGCTCCTGTGCCAGGTAAGTTACGGGCTAACCATAGCCCGTGCTACTTGCCCCGCTCCTGTGCCAGGTAAGTTACGGGCTAACCATAGCCCGTGCTACTTGCCCTGCTCCTGTGCCAGGTAAGTTACGGACTCACCATAGCCCGTGCTACTTGCCCCGCTCCTGTGCCAGGTAAGTTACGGGCTCGCCATAGCCCGTGCTACTTGGAACTTGTTCCGAGTAGCTTAATCTATAACAACAACAATGTATTGCTTTGCCTAAAAGACAATTCACACCACCATGAGAAGTTTGTAACGTAGATGTAGTAATTATTCCCTTACAAAAGAATGAAAAAGTGTTTATGCGAAAGGAGAGCTGAGGGCAACATATGATTGTACAATTAGAAAATTACCTACAGAAAACACTACATGTATATTGTGATGGGTCAGTAGCTAGGGATGGGAAGGCAGGATGTGGAGTCTTGATCAGGGAGTACACTGACATCGGCACTGTAGATACTGTTAATGAGCGCCTCTTAATTGACAATGTCTCTTCAACGCAGGCTGAACTCCAAGGTGTATTAGTAGGATATAATTCCTCCCGCCCGTTTCTCTATCAGCATTCTCTTTGTTACTGCTAATGAAACACCCGTATCAATTTCTACCACTGGTTTTCTACAGGTCCCCTACTGTCAATAAAGAAACAGGCATTCGACTTGAGAATGGTCCAGGACGGACCGAAACGTCGTCGTCCCTTCAATTTCTAGTGTGTGGTCTGGTCAACAAGCAGGCATGTTTACCACATTTGACTACAGGAAGTAGTCAAACGTGATAACTTGCTACTTGTCTCCCGAATGACTAAATGGTATTAATAATTTTTGTTTAAATACACACTTAACAAAAAATGCAAAAATTAGGTATACTCAAAACAATTAAATAAAAAGTGTAAATCAAGCATGAAGCAGTGAGTATACAACCAGGTAAAGGTAAACTATAATCATGTCCGAAACGCTTTGCGTAATAGTGGCTTTAGGCATTGTATGTACTAGCTCTACCTATAAGTCAACCAATCTTTGTAAAAATTTCTTGTCTATAAGTCAACCAATCTTTGTCAAAATTTCTTGTCTATAAGTCAACCAATCTTTGTAAAAATTTCTTGTCTATAAGTCAACCAATCTTTGTAAAAATTTCTTGTCTATAAGTCAACCAATCTTTGTAAAAATTTCTTGTCTATAAGTCAACCAATCTTTGTAAAAATTTCTTGTCTATAAGTCAACCAATCTTTGTAAAAATTTCTTGTCTATAAGTCAACCAATCTTTGTAAAAATTTCTTGTATGTATGTACCTTACCTAAATAAACATTTATTTATTATTTATTTATTTAACAGCTAATAATATTAATAATCTTTCGAGGGTTAAAGAAAGATGGTATCTGGCAGCCAGACTATTATGAGGTGAAGGAGGCTTCCTGTGTACACTTACTGCGTCATTACCAGCCTAATGTGGAGGACCTCCGACAGAAATTTTTACCTCTTTTTACAAAATACTCTGTTTATACAGTGTAATTAATGCACAGTGAGTGACAACACCCTTGTGACTACCTCAAGTTCCTCTACGGTCGTGTTAGGTAAGACGATACGATAATATATTTCATATCTAATACTGATTATGTCTACGTGGGAAACAATCTCGCGATGCCAATAAAACAACCATTAGCAAGTTTGTGCTTCTGTGTATGAGATTGATTGATTGATGAAGATTAAGCCACCCGAAAGGTGGCACGGGCATGAATAGCCCGTAAGTGGTGGCCCTTTTGAGCCATTACCAGTATCAAGAGCTGATACTGGAGATCTGTGGAGGTGCGACTGCACCCTGCGTGACGGGAGATGTCTCCCGTGTGTGTATGAGAGCAGTGCCCGGTGTTTTAAGTCTACATATGATGGTCAGAGCTGAGAGAAGACTGAAAGCCGCGGTATTGTTCAGTACATTTAAAGTGAGATAATAAGCAATGCGTTAGGCGAAGCCCCAACCAGCTGGGACGTCGCGTCCGTCACATTTCCGGTTGATAAGTATACAGCCACATCCACCCACATCAATCCACCTGGATAGTTTTCTAAATATCTGTGAGGGTGTGAAAGCATATTACGGTTCCCGTAATTGTGTACATGCAAACTAGCAAATGATGAAAACCCTTTCTTTACAGAATTTGCTGTTCTGTAAACGGAATTCTCTGGTACACTGAAAAAGTTTTCGATTTCTGGGGTCCCTCGATTGTTTCAAGCGCGGGTTGGACAAGTATATGAGTGGGATTGGGTGGTTATAAATGGGAGCTGCCTCGTATGGGCCAATAGGCCTTCTGCAGTTGCCTTTGTTCTTATTTCCATATTTCACATTATCGCCAATAATACATTGTAGTAACACAACCAAACGTAATGAAATCTAACGTTAACCTAAAGTAACCTTAACCTAACCTAACCATGGATAGAAAGTAGATAATAGCACAAATTATGTACTTGTTAACATAAGAACATAAGAACAAAGGCAACTGCAGAAGGCCTGTTGGCCCATACGAGGCAGCTCCCATTTATAACCATCCAATCCCACTCATATACATTAAATTTAATTAAACCTCACTTCGTTGGAAGACAGAAGAGTTTGATTGTTTTTAGTTTTAGAGTTTTAGATTGTTGCCAATCTATTCCCTTGAGGGGTATCTCTCTGAGGATAGGAGGTGGCACGGGCATGAATAGCCCGTAAGTGGTGGCCCTTTCGAGCCATTACCAGTATCAAAAGATGATACTGGAGATCTGTGGAGGCGCAACTGCACCTTGCGTGACGGGAGATGTCTCCCGGACCAAGTGGTGACCATCTAATTGGTAAATGATTGATTGATTGATGAAGATTAAGCCACCCAAAAGGTGGCACGGGCATGAATAGCCCGTAAGTGGTGGCCCTTTTGAGCCATTACCAGTATCAAGAGCTGATACTGGAGATCTGTGGAGGTGCGACTGCACCCTGCGTGACGGGAGATGTCTCCCTTGTGAATGTGTTAAGATGAAGATGAAGCCACCCAAAAGGTGGCACGGGCATGAATAGCTGGTAAGTGGTGGCCCTTTTGAGCCATTACCAGTATCAATAGATGATACTGGATGGTAAATGAGTACAGTATGGCATTATCTAGATCAGTGGTCTTCAACCTTTTTCAATGTCGTCCACCCAATGGGAGCCGGTCGGCCGAGCGGACAGCACGCTGGACTTGTGATCCTGTGGTCCTGGGTTCTATCCCAGGCGCCGGCGAAAAACAATGGGCAGAGTTTCTTTCACCCTATGCCCCTGTTACCTAGCAGTAAAATAGGTACCTGGGTGTTAGTCAGCTGTCACGGGCTGCTTCCTGGGGGTGGAGGCCTGGTCGAGGACCGGGCCGCAGGGACACTAAAGCCCCGAAATTATCATCTCAAGATAACCCCTAGTGGTGATTAAGTAGAAGCTGTCCACCCCCACCCCGAAAAAGTCTCATTAAAAATCTCATGTTTTTAATATTTAAAATCTATGTGTCATATCTTATTTCTATGACTATGTAAACAGAAAAAAAGTTTCTCTTATTTTTTATTTAACTTTTACATATTCATCCATATATTTACACACCTCATCTCAAACTAAGAGGCTCAAAATACATCAGATAACGTTGACCAGACCACACACTAGAAATTGAATTCAATCGACAATCGACTAGAATGGTCCAGGACGGACCGAAACGTCGTCGTCCCTTCAATTTCTAGTGTGTGGTCTGGTCAACATACTTCAGCCACGTTATACTCCTCGCCTGCACACCAGACAACATTAAGCCTGGCATTTAGACCCATTTTCCTTCACTAAAGTAAAATTGCAGACAATGTTTGCTACATTTAGTACACTATCAATAAATAAAACAAATATCCTTTAAAAGAAAAATCAGTGGCTTGGCTGCTGTTGCACTTTGTCTGCTATTAGGTTGAATCGAGGTGTCAGACGATTTTTCAAGTGCAACTCGCATGAGAGGATCCAAGTTCAGGATTGGCTTTCCTTTTCTTTGTCTTCACTAAAACTAAACTAGAGAACCGATTGATTGATTGATAAAGATTAAGCCACCCAAAAGGTGGCACGGGCATGAATAGCCCGTAAGTGGTGGCCCTTTTGAGCCATTACCAGTATCAAGAGCTTATACTGGAGATCTGTGGAGGTGCGACTGCACCCTGCGTGACGGGAGATGTCTCCCGTGTGCTAGAGAACCCTTGCTCACACAAATATGATGTTGGCATCTGTACAACTCTGGCTATTGTCTGCTCAGCTAGATCCTTGTACTCTGGAAGATCAAGCAGGTAACCCAGACATCCATGGGATGGCTAAATGTCTTTAAAACTGCTTTTTGTGAATAATCTTAGAAGCTCCATAAGAGCACCACAATGATGAGTTCCTTCATCTGTGAAGGGATTAAGCATCCACATGCTGGAGGTCAGCTGGGCCTTCTCACTGTCTGGGAAATAGAAGTCAAGGTTTTCTTACATTAAAGATATCTGATAACTAAGTGTTACATATGTACCTCCAGTGTGTGCTTTGTTGCCTGCATACCATGTTCCCAGCCACATTCTCTCTTAAATGAGTCAAATTCGTTCGCCTGGCGTTCCGCGAGCGCTATGTCATGGGTTCGTATCCTGGCCGGGGAGGATTTACTGGGCGCAATTCCTTAACTGTAGCCTCTGTTTAACGCAACAGTAAAATGTGTACTTGGATGAAAAAACGATTCTTCGCGGCGGGGATCGTATTCCAGGGACCTGCCCGAAACGCTACGCGTACTAGTGGCTGTACAAGAATGTAACAACTCTTGTATATATCTCAAAAAAAAAAATAATAATAATAATTCAAAATCAGAAAAGCACCTCTTTTCTACATTGCTTTTCCATGTTTTCACCTTCAGTTTAAATGCATTTATTTTCCCTATACTTGTAAAAATATCCCCACCACTGCCTTGCTGACTGATGTTTAGCTTGTTCAGATGATCGAAGACTGACGCCATGTAAGACAATTTTGCCAGCCAGAGCACAGCCTGACATTTTAACTGTCATGGGGTTGGCTTCCTCAGTAAAGAAAACAGAGCTGCTCTCTCAATGTAAACACTCTTATTAAGAACCTCACCCCGAGATAGCCAACGTACTTCAGTATGCAGGAGGAGTTTTGTGAAATTAGCTTCCATATCCTTACACAACTCAGGAATCATTCTATACTTTTTTGCATGTGTACAGATATGATGAACCATTTTGACAACATCATCAAGTTGAAGCTCAAATACTAGAAGTTGAAGGGACGACGACGTTTCGGTCCGTCCTGGACCATTCTCAAGTCGATTGTGTCACAATCACAATCGACTTGAGAATGGTCCATGACGGACCGAAACGTCGTCGTCCCTTCAACTTCTAGTGTGTGGTCTGGTCAACATACTTCAGCCACGTTATTGTGACTCATCGCCTGCATATACCCGCCAAACACACACCGAAACTACGACGTTGGTACAACGTTCGAACAAGTTTTAACTCCACCTAACCAGTTATAACAACCAATATAACAAGTTGTAACAACGTTCTAATACGTCATAAACACGTTAAGCCAAGATGTAACAACTTTATTACAAGTTTTAATAAGCGGAAAATAGAGACAGTTTCGGTTTGTGTTTCCAGGGATAGAAGCTCAAAGTCACTTTTCTCCTTAGCATTTCTAGTGTCATTCAGTTGCGTTGCCACACTAACGCTTCCCTGTGAATCACGCAGTGAATTGCGGCACAAAATGGTAAGACCGCTTCGATTTTCTTCACAACGCCATTGATTGCACCGACCACAGCCTTTGCACCATCAGTAGTAACAGACTTGCATTTTGACCAGTCAATGCCCTCTTCATTAATGAAATAATGAAGTTTCTGAAAAATGTTGTGTGCTGTTGGTTCTACGCCTAGTTGGAGGTCCAGCTGTTGTTTTTACGCCTAGTTGGAGGTCCAGCTGTTGTTTCTACACCCAGTTGGAGGTCCAGCTGTTGTTTTTACGCCTAGTTGGAGGTCCAGCTGTTGTTTCTACGCCCAGTTGGAGGTCCAGCTGTTGTCTCTACGCCCAGTTGGAGGTCCAGCTGTTGTTTCTACGCCCAGTTGGAGGTCCAGCTGTTGTTTCTACGCCTCGTTGGAGGTCCAGCTGTTGTTTCTACGCCCAGTTGGAGGTCCAGCTGTTGTTTCTACGCCCAGTTGGAGGTCCAGCTGTTGTTTCTACGCCCAGTTGGAGGTCCAGCTGTTGTTTCTACGCCCAGTTGGAGGTCCAGCTGTTGTCTCTACGCCCAGCTGAATGCCAAACGAAGCGGCTTGACGCCATTTTTTAACAAGCTGTTCCTTCAGGTCATCTGCTAACATCACACACCAATGACTTACTGTAGAATCAGACAACGGAATCTGCTTCACTTTCTTCACTGCATCTTTCTCTCCATGTATTAGGTCAGCTGCTACTTCAAGACAAGGCAGTACAACATTTTCAAGTTCAGCGAATGACTTCTTTTCTGAAGAACGATGTGTGTGTCATCTTAAGAGAAGCAAGAATAAGTGCTTTCATGTCAGAGGGCTTAACTTGACTTTTAAAGGTCGACTGTTGCTTCAAGTATGCTTCCAAAGTTGCCTCCAAAAATTGTTTTTTAATTTGTTTTGGTGTTCAGGATGCTTCGTCTTTAAATGCCGTGCAAGTTTTGAAGGAACAACATTTTCATTACTGTTCGTGGCATTACAAAAGAAGCGCTCGCCTGGTGGGAAGGGATTTGAAGCCTCATGTACTGGGCGGAAGAATCCAAATACAGTCAAACCGTCTCCGTGGTGTAGTGGTAAGACACTCGCCTGGCGTTCCGCGAGCGCTATGTCATGGGTTCGTATCCTGGCCGGGGAGGATTTACTGGGCGCAAATCCTTAACTGTAGCCTCTGGCGGCGGGAATCGAACCCGCGCCACAGAATTAAGAGTCCTGCGCGCTATTTACCAGGCTAGGAGGCCCCCGTACAGTCGCACCTCCACAGATCTCCAGTATCATCTATTGATACTGGAAATGGCTCAAAAGGGCCACCACTTATGAGCTATTCATGCCCAAGCCACCTTTTGGGTGGCTTAATCTTCTCTCTCAGGATGAATAGCACTGATCTAGATTATAGCCTGCTTAGCTAAATGAACTAGCTTATCAAGACTGTAACTTGCTTAGCTAAATGAACGTTGGGGTTCAGTCCCTGATGCCATTATTTGTCTCTGTAACCCTTTCCAGTACCGTTGACAGGATGGGTACAAGGTGCATAATAAATGAGTTAAACCGACTCATGTTATGGTGTTGATTAGGCTCTGGGGGTCCCGTCAGACAAGACACACTAGTACTGGGTTTGGGACTTATTCTTCAGGAGACTTCAGGTGGGTCGCTCAGTACTCACAGTCCAAGGGTCAGATTCACGAAAGCACTTACGAACCTGTACATCTTTTCACAATCTTTGGCGGCTTTGTTTACAATAATTAAACAGTTAATGAGCTCCGAAGCACCAGGAGGCTGTTTATAACAATAACAACAGTTGATTGGCAAGTTTTCATGCTTGTAAACTGTTTAATAAATGTAACCAAAGCCGTCAAAGATTGAGGAAAGATGTACATGTACATGTATATGTACTCATATACATGTCCAACCCATGCTTGAAACAATCGAAGGACCCCATCTCCACCATGTTACGCAGCAATTGGTTCCACAAATCAACTACCCTGTTACTGAACCAGTATTTACCCAAGTCTTTCCTAAATCTAAACTTATCCAATTTATACCCATTGTTTTGTGTTCTGTCTTGTGTTGATACTTTTAATACCCTATTAAGATGGTATTACATGTACACGCTCGCAAGTGCTTTCATGAATCTGGCCCCAGGAGAGTCGGGATTGTGGACGCGTCTGCTGACTTTGTGTTGAGGTGTCTGCCTGCCTTCTGGGTCTATGGTAAGATTCCCGAATTTACTTACAGGCGATGCTAGAAGTGGCTTCTAGCAGGTCTAAGATGGACAATGTCCTCATCGCATATAGTTCCTCTTCCCAGACTCCCGCGTCTTGTGTCATATAGATTGATTGATTGATGAAGATTAAGCCACCCAAAAGGTGGCACGGGTATGAATAGCCCGTAAGTGGTGGCCCTTTTGAGCCATTACCAGTATCATTAGCTGATACTGGAGATCTGTGGAGGTGCGACTGCACCCTGCGTGACGGGAGATGTCTCCCTGACCAAATGGTTTGTCATATAGCTAACTAACTCTTGACACATGATTCTTTAAATATGTCTCTCATCACTTTGGCAACTTTTTGAGTGTCTGAAGGTCGAAGAGAATTTATACAATGAGAGATGAAAGGAATTCTAAGAAAAAATGTGTCAAATAATTATAAAAATGATGAGTACGGAGATCCAAATTCGTGTAAGAATATTGACTGTATAAATTCTCTTATTAACTTTAGCGACATAACTTTTAGTTTTCTTAATTTCTTGTTTTACGTTAAAACTAAAGATTGAGGTTGGTAGATTAATATATCAAATGTTCGTTTCAGACGTTGTTGGTCTTGGAACACCAACTCTGAAGAAGGGCCAGATGGAGGAGGTTGTGTTTTGCCAAATGTGTTCACAGTTGTACCAGAAGGGCGCCCGTGACCCACTGCTCCTGCCCTGCGGCCACGACTTCTGCCGAGGCTGCGTCACCGCCAGCACCCAGCGCGACAACATACGATGCCCAACTTGCAAGAAACGCCACAAGTTATTTCATACGGAAGATATGCCAGTTGTCCATAAAGTTCTGAAGTTATCGTTGGACTTCAAACAGAAGCTGGTAATTAGGTTGCTATCTTCTTGAGGTTATCTTGAGATGATTTCGGGGCTTTAGTGTCCCCGCGGCCCGGTCCTCGACCAGGCTTCCACCCCCAGGAAGCAGCCCGTGACAGCTGACTAACACCCAGGTACCTATTTTACTGCTAGGTAACAGGGGCATAGGGTGAAAGAAACTCTGCCCATTGTTTCTCGCCGGCGCCTGGGATCGAACCCAGGACCACAGCATCACAAGCCCAGCGTGCTGTCCGCTCGGCCGACCGGCTCCCTTAAAAACAGTTAAAATTCCTGCACGAGAATATTCACAATGAATTGATTAGAAATAAGAAAAATAAATGCAGTTGAAATTTTAATAGTTACTCCATACGCACTCACCCACTCCCACTAACTCCTTGATACTTCATTAAGATTTACTTATGCATTGGTAGAAATAGTAATAATAATATTGCTTTTAACTATTTACGGCAATTGCTCAACAGATGTATCAGGAAATCCATATAATGAAACCCCGTGGGGCATTTTTTGTCCACTATTTAATGTCATATAATATTTGAGTAAAGAGTTAAATATAAATATGAATAAATATGTTTATTCAGGTAAGGTACATACATACAAGTGATGTTACATTAATGGATTGATATATAGATAGAGCTAGTACATACAATGCCTAAAGCCACTATTACGCAATAAGTTTCGGGGAAAATTAAAAAAATTCATTAATTCAAAATAAACTTAGGAAAGTGGGCTGTAAAACTTCTACATCAAGTGGAGTATTTCCCCTACACATCTTTTGGGGGTAAATTCTAGAATGTTAATCTACTAATAACATAGATATAATATTTCATATATAAATCAGAAATAATTGTAACATGGATTAGTATGCTAACTACTAAATTCAACATTTTGGAAGCTTAGCCGCCAAAGATGAGTGGAAAACCCATACGACAGCTCTACAACTCCTATAATTTTGTCAATGCCTGTTATCTCAGGCGACTGAGATAACGTGATTTCACAGGGTGAAGTACGCTTCCCTTGTGGCTAGCTCCAAGCTGAAATACCAATATCAAGTAATTTCTACTTAAGAGTATATATTCGCATACATACTCATGAAATTAGGGCTGGTAGAATATAATAATAGGACTCCGGAGCTTATTTTGATGTTCATGGGTCCTGACAAGTCACTCTACATAATATATAAATTAAGGCCACAACTATATACATCGGGTTACTTAGCCTTGCCGGACGCGGTGTCCGGAATAAGATGAAGCTCTTGAATCAGTCTGAGGTCCGATAATGTTCAGATGATCCAATAATAAGACGATAATAATGACTAGCTTCAGGACACTCTTCTAATATGGCTTCTCTCTGCCAAGTCTCTCTAGCAAGTGCCCTGGGCGCCACCTAGCGCCGGATGGGGAAAACTTGGTATATAGTTCATAATATTTTATTTGGATTTCCTAATTGATGGAGACTTTGTCGACGTTATTTTACGTGCCAATAACATACTTTAGGTAACAACAGACTGTTTCTCGCTGTGTATATCATTAGACCTAAATGACGTTAGATGAGGTACCTATATTCGAAGGTGAATTTTAGTTCATTACTTTGTTTACTGGATCAGCTGATTATAGCCGCAGAAAACTTGTTCCAATAAACAGTAATATAATTTGCTAAATTAAACTAAATCAATCGCCAATTTATATTCCTTAATAAATTCGGCAAGGTTAGACTGGGTTTAATTCGATTTATGTATATATGTAATTTATTCTCGTGAGAGGCGGGTGTCTGACGTTATTAAATAACCATATTTAATAAATCAATAGAGTCAGGCAGAGTGCCAGAGTCATGGAAGGTAGCTAATGTGGTACCAATTTTTAAGAAAGGAGATAGATCACTTGCGTCAAACTATCGGCCAATTAGCCTAACGTCTATTGTGGGAAACTTACTTGAATCGATAATTGTAAATACAATTCGTCTTCATCTTGAAAAACATAAATTAATAAATGAGTCGCAACATGGTTTTACAAATGGCCGTTCATGTTTAACAAATTTGCTAACTTTTTATTCCAGCATAGTTGAGGCAGTTGATAGTGGTAAGGATTGTGATGTTGTGTACCTTGACTTTAGCAAAGCTTTTGATACAGTGCCACATGAAAGACTAATTAAAAAAATAGAAGCTCATGGTATTGGGGGTGCTATATTAAGTTGCATTAGGGCATGGCTATTCCAAAGGAAACAGAGAGTTAGTTGACTAGACCACACACTAGAATTTGAAGGGACGACGACGTTTCGACGTTTCGGAAACGTCGTCGTCCCTTCAAATTCTAGTGTGTGGTCTAGTCAACATACTTCAGCCACGTTATTGTGACTCATCGCCTGCAGAGAGTTAGTATAAATGGGGTTAAGTCAGAGTGGGATAATGTTGTTAGTGGAGTACCTCAAGGCTCTGTCCTGGGACCTCTGTTGTTTATAATATATATAAATGATTTAGATTCAGGTTTGAGTAGCAAAATCTGCAAATTTGCAGATGATACAAAAATCGGTAGGGAAATTAACACGAAAGAAGACTCGCTATCACTTCAAGTTGATCTAAATAGGGTTTTAAAATGGTCAAAAGACTGGCAGATGCAGTTTAATGCTAATAAATGTAAAGTTCTGAGGCTAGGTAATGATGATAGTTACAAGATACGAGCTAGATGGTGTTGAGATTGCGAAGTCGGATTGCGAAAGGGATCTGGGAGTTATGATTAGTAAGAATTTAAAACCAAAGGATCACTGCATGAATGTTCGTAATAAGGCGAATAGGACACTGGGATTTATTAATCGAAGCGTTAGTAACAAGACACCTGGTGTGGTTCTATATCTTGCTCTGGTTAGGCCCCATTTAGATTATGCAGTCCAGTTTTGGTCGCCGTACTATAGAATGGATATAAATTCACTTGAACGTGTCCAGCGTAGGATAACTAAGTTAATTCCCCAAATTAGAAATCTTTCATATGAAGAAAGATTAACAAAGCTTAAGTTGCATTCACTGGAAAGGCGAAGAGTTAGGGGTGACATGATAGAGGTTTACAAGTGGGTGAATGGACATAACAAAGGGGATATTAATAGGGTATTAAAAGTATCAACACAAGACAGAACACGAAACAATGGGTATAAATTGGATAAGTTTAGATTTAGGAAAGACTTGGGTAAATACTGGTTCAGTAACAGGGTTGTTGATTTGTGGAACCAATTACCGCGTAACGTGGTGGAGGTGGGGTCCCTCGATTGTTTCAAGCGCGGGTTGGACATGTATATGAGTGGGATTGGGTGGTTATAGATAGGAGCTGCCTCGTATGGGCCAATAGGCCTTCTGCAGTTACCTTTGTTCTTATGTTCAATACCGGAGACGATTTTAGTAAGAATTGGCTGCACTATAGGGGGCCTCGTAGCCTGGTGGATAGCGCGCAGGACTCGTAATTTTGTGGCGCGGGTTCGATTCCCACACGAGGCAGAAACAAATGGGCAAAGTTTCTTTCACCCTGAATGCCCCTGTTACCTAGCAGTAAATAGGTACCTGGGAGTTAGTCAGCTGTCACGGGCTGCTTCCTGGGGGTGGAGGCCTGGTCGAGGACCGGGCCGCGGGGACACTAAAGCCCCGAAATCATCTCAAGATAACCTCAAGATACTAGGCTACTTATTAGTAATGTTAGTAAATGTGAATTCCTAGTACAATAAATTTATATTATCGCACGAGGGGTTAATATTTGGGTGTCGGAAATTTCCGACAAACCGTAATGTGCAATAATTAAATTACTACTAACGTATTTGGAACGAATGATCATAAGAAATGTTAATCATTATAATTGTACCAACAGTATGGTGTCTGCAGCGAGCATGGGGATCAACTGAAGTCATCCTGGTGTTCGGAATGCAATGTTGCTGTATGTCCATCATGCGCCAACATCCAGCTTCATAATGGCCATGAAATCCAGTTGACGGAGGATTATATAAAGCATAAGAAAGCTGAACTGAGCCAAAACATTACCGAGACTGATAACAAGTTAAAGATAACTAGATACCTAAACGGCAGAATTTTAGATTACATCGCTCAGTATGAGCACCAACAGTACATTATTTCCATTGAGAAAATACAGCAGCTTAAAAAAGCTATTGCAAAAGCCTATCGTATTGATTGCCTAACTAATTTTGAAATAGAGTTAAACAATATGAAAGATCTACTCCATACAGAAGTTGAACTCAATCAATTCATACACTTCCGTAACGAAGCATCTGAAAAGGTAAAGGAATCAGAAAAAGACATGTTTGATGCATTAAAAAGCCAGCAACACAATAACGTGCAAGATGGAATAAAACTAGTCGACATTCCAAAGGCTAAACTGGTCTTTGAAGATAACAGACTCCTGGTATACTCATTCATCCCAACATTTGATAGCTTCAATGAGGTAAATATGACAACATACTGGAATATATATATATATATATATATATATATATATATATATATATATATATATATATATATATATATATATATATATATATATATGTCGTACCTAGTAGCCAGAACTCACTTCTCAGCCTACTATTCAAGGCCCGATTTGCCTAATAAGCCAAGTTTTCCTGAATTAATATATTTACTATAATTTTTTTCTTATGAAATGATAAAGCAACCCTTTTCTCTATGTATGAGGTCAATTTTTTTTATTGGAGTTAAAATTAACGTAGATATATGACCGAACCTAACCAACCCTACCTAACCTAACCTAACCTATATTTATAGGTAAGGTTAGGTTAGGTAGCCAAAAAAAGCTAGGTTAGGTTAGGTTAGGTAGGTTAGGTAGACGAAAAAACATTAATTCATGAAAACTTGGCTTATTAGGCAAATCGGGCCTTGAATAGTAGGCTGAGAAGTGCGTTCTGGCTATTAGGTACGACATATATATATATATATATATATATATATATATATATATATATATATATATATATATATATATATGCAGAATAACCACATGTGAAAAATAGAAAATGCTTAACGCGTTTTCGGCAAATTCGCCTTCATCAGAGCAAAGTAGAATCAAGTAGCATTCTACTTTGCTCTGATGAAGGCGAATTAGCCGAAAACGCGTTAAGCATTTTCTATTTTTCACATGTGGTTATTCTGCATACTTGGATCAGTGTTTTTGTGATCATTGTTACATATATATATATATATATATATATATATATATATATATATATATATATATATATATATATATATATATATATATATATATATGTCGTACCTAGTAGCCAGAATGCACTTTTCAGCCTACTATGCAAGGCCTGATTTGCCTAATAAGCCAAGTTTTCTTGAATTAATATATTTTCTCTAATTTTTTTCTTATGAAATGATAAAGCTACCCATTTCATTATGTATGAGGTCAATTTTTTTTTATTGGAGTTAAAATTAACGTAGATATATGACCAAACCTAACCAACCCTACCTAACCTAACCTAACCTATCTTTATAGGTTAGGTTCGGTTAGGTAGCAGAAAAAGTTAGGTTAGGTTAGGTTAGGTAGGTTAGGTAGTCGAAAAAACATTAATTCATGAAAACTTGGCTTATTAGGCAAATCAGGCCATGAATAGTAGGCTGAGAAGTGCGTTCTGGCTACTAGGTTCGACATATATATATATATATATATAACTGAAAACTCACACCCCAGAAGTGACTCGAACCCATACTCCCACAACTGGTATGTACAGGGACGCCTTAATCCGCTTGACCATCACGACCGGACATAAGGAAGTGATAGCCGAGGCTATATGAACCACTTCCCCGCCGGCACTCGGATGGTAATCTTGGGCATAGCATTTTATCAAATCACCTCATTCTTTGGGGCACACGTGAGGAACACAAATGCAAACAAGCCTGAATGGTCCCCAGGACTATATACAACTGAAAACTCACACCCCAGAAGTGACTCGAACCCATACTCCCACAACTGGTATGTACAGGGACGCCTTAATCCGCTTGACCATCACGACCGGACATAAGGAAGTGATAGCCGAGGCTATATGAACCACTTCCCCGCCGGCACTCGGATGGTAATCTTGGGCATAGCATTTTATCAAATCACCTCATTCTTTGGGGCACACGTGAGGAACACAAATGCAAACAAGCCTGAATGGTCCCCAGGACTATATACAACTGAAAACTCACACCCCAGAAGTGACTCGAACCCATACTCCCACAACTGGTATGTACAGGGACGCCTTAATCCGCTTGACCATCACGACCGGACATAAGGAAGTGATAGCCGAGGCTATATGAACCACTTCCCCGCCGGCACTCGGATGGTAATCTTGGGCATAGCATTTTATCAAATCACCTCATTCTTTGGGGCACACGTGAGGAACACAAATGCAAACAAGCCTGAATGGTCCCCAGGACTATATACAACTGAAAACTCACACCCCAGAAGTGACTCGAACCCATACTCCCACAACTGGTATGTACAGGGACGCCTTAATCCGCTTGACCATCACGACCGGACATAAGGAAGTGATAGCCGAGGCTATATGAACCACTTCCCCGCCGGCACTCGGATGGTAATCTTGGGCATAGCATTTTATCAAATCACCTCATTCTTTGGGGCACACGTGAGGAACACAAATGCAAACAAGCCTGAATGGTCCCCAGGACTATATACAACTGAAAACTCACACCCCAGAAGTGACTGGGGTGTGAGTTTTCAGTTGTATATAGTCCTGGGGACCATTCAGGCTTGTTTGCATATATATATATATATATATATATATATATATATATATATATATATATATATATATATATATATATATATATATATATATATATATATATTTTTGGTAGCAGTCTTTCTTGTAAACATATGTTGTTAAATATGACCGAAAAAGTAAGATTATTAATTCTAACACGAATTTTCCCAATATTTTTTGTTTCTTTTTACTGTCGATGGTAACTGAAAACTCAATTCTCCAAAATTCATTTATATTTCTAGTCTGACGCGACGCTTGAACGCGTTTCGTAATAACGTATTACTTTTTCAAAGACTTTAGTTTACACACACGCACAACTGTAACCTGCAAACACTTAACAGAGTTTCACTAATTCTAACGCTAAACAGCTTGTCTTATATACTCGCATTTGGGTGAGGTGATATGTTGAAACAGTTTTGGATGAGGTGAACAAACTTTTGACCAACACAAGACAGAACACGGTTCAATGGGTATAAATTGGATAAGTGAGGGAAGAATGGAAGTAACTGCAAAGGGCCTATTGGCCCATACTTCCTCTTGATGCTTCTATATTGGTACGGAGTCTTGAAGTGGGTAGAATATAGTTGTGCATTAATTGGCTGTTGATTGCTGGTGTTGACTTTTTGATGTGTAGTGCCTCGCAGATGTCAAGCTGCCTGCTATCGCTGTATCTATCGATGATTTCTGTGTTGTTTGTTAAGACTTCTCTGGTGATGGTCTGGTTGTGGGAAGAGATTATATGTTCCTTAATGGAGCTCTGTTGCTTATGCATTGTTAATAGCCTGGAAAGAGATGTTGTTGTCTTGCCTATATACTGAGTTCTTTGGGGCTTACAGTCCCCAAGTGGGCATTTGAAGGCATAGACGACGTTGGTCTCTTTTAAGGCATTCTGCTTTGTGTCTGGAGAGTTTTTCATAAGTATATATATATATATATATATATATATATATATATATATATATATATATATATATATATAAATATATATATATATATATATATATATATATATATATATATATATATATATATATATATATATATATATATATATATATATATATCAATCAACAGCCAATTAATGCACAACTATATTCTACCCACCTCAAGACTCCGCTCCAATATAGAAGCATCAAGAAATATGGACCAATAGGCTTTCTACATACACTTCTATTCAATACCCATTGTTTCGTGTTCTGTCTTGTGTTGATGAAATTAATACCCTATTAATGCCACCTCTTGTTCTGTCTTGTGTTGATGAAATTAATACCCTATTAATGCCACCTCACCCCATCCACCTCACTAAAATGTATATATATATATATATATATATATATATATATATATATATATATATATATATATATATATATATATATATATATATATATATATATATATATATATATATATATGTCGTACCTAGTAGCCAGAATGCACTTCTCAGCCTACTATGCAAGGCCCCGATTTGTCTAATAAGCCAAGTTTTCATGAAATAATTGTTTTTCGACAACCTAACCTACCTAACCTAACCTAACCTAACCTAATTTTTTCGGCTACCTAACCTAACCTAACCTATAAAGATAGGTTAGGTTAGGTTAGGTAGGGTTGGTTAGGTTCGGTCATATATCTACGTTAATTTTAACTCCAATAAAAAAAATTTGACCTCATACATAATGAAATGGGTAGCTTTATCATTTCATAAGAAAAAAATAGAGAAAATATATTAATTCATGAAAACTTGGCTTATTAGGCAAATTGGGCCTTGCATAGTAGGCTGAGAAGTGAGTCCTGGCTACTAGGTACGATATATATATATATATATATATATATATATATATATATATATATATATATATATATATATATATATATGTCGTACCTAATAGCCAGAACGCACTTCTCAGCCTACTATGCAAGGCCCGATTTGCCTAATAAGCCAAGTTTTCCTGAATTAATATATTTTTTCTAATTTTTTTCTTATGAAATGATAAAGCTACCCATTTCATTATGTATGAGGTCAATTTTTTTTTATTGGAGTTAAAATTAACGTAGATATATGACCGAACCTAACCAACCCTACCTAACCTAACCTAACCTATCTCTATCGGTTAGGTTAGGTTAGGTAGCAGAAAAAGTTAGGTTAGGTTAGGTTAGGTAGGTTAGGTAGTCTAAAAAACATTAATTCATGAAAACTTGGCTTATTAGGCAAATTGGGCCATGCATAGTTGGCTGAGAAGTGCGTTCTGGCTATTAGGTACGACATATATATATATATATATATATATATATATATATATATATATATATATATATATATATGTCGTACCTAGTAGCCAGAACGCACTTCTCAGCCTAATTAGCAAAGCCCGATTTGCCTAATAAGCCAAGTTTTCATGAATTAATTGTTTTTCGACTACCTAACCTACCTAACCTAACCTAACCTAACTTTTTCGGCTACCAAACCTAACCTAACCCATAAAGATAGGTTAGGTTAGGTTAGGTAGGGTTGGTTAAGTTCGGTCATATATCTACGTTAATTTTAACTCCAATAAAAAAAAATGACCTCATACATAATGAAATGGGTAGTTTTATCAGATCATAAGAAAAAAATTAGAGAAAATATATTAATTCAGGAAAACTTGGCTTATTAGGCAAATCGGGCCTTGAATAGTAGGCCTAGAAGTGCGTTCTGGCTACTAGGTACGACATATATATATATATATATATATATATATATGTCGTACCTAGTAGCCAGAACTCACTTTTTGGCCTACTATTCAAGGCCCGATTTGCCTAATAAGCCAAGTTTTCCTGAATTAATATATTTTTTCTAATTTTTTTCTTATGAAATGATAAAGCTACCCATTTCATTATGTATGAGGTCAATTTTTTTTTTATTGGAGTTAAAATTAACGTAGATATATGACCGAACCTAACCAACCCTACCTAACCTAACCTAACCTATCTTTATAGGTTAGGTTTGGTTAGGTAGCCGAAAAAGTTAGGTTAGGTTAGGTTAGGTAGGTTAGGTAGTCGAAAAACAATTAATTCATGAAAACTTGGCTTATTAGGCAAATCGGGCCTTGAATAGTAGACCAAAAAGTGAGTTCTGGCTACTAGGTACGACATATATATATATATATATATATATATATATGTCGTACCTAGTAGCCAGAACTCACTTCTCAGCCTACTATGCGAGGCCCGATTTGCCTACTAAGCCAAGTTTTACTGAATTAATATATTTTCTCTAATTTTTTTCTTATGAAATGATAAAGCTACCCATTTCATTGTGTATGAGGTCAATTTTTTTTTATTGGAGTTAAAATTAACGTAGATATATGACCGAACCTAACCAACCCTACCTAACCTAACCTAACCTATCTTTATAGGTTAGGTTAGGTTAGGTAGCCGAAAACGTTAGGTTAGGTTAGGTTAGGTAGGTTAGGTTGTCGAAAAAACATTAATTCATGAAAACTAGGCTTATTAGGCAAATCGGGCCTTGCATAGTAGGCTGAGAAGTGAGTTCTGGCTACTAGGTACGACATATATATATATATATATATATATATATATATATATATATATATATATATATATATATATGTGTGTGTGTGTGTGTGTGTGTGTGTGTGTGTGTGTGTGTGTGTGTGTGTGTGTGTGTGTACTCACCTAGTTGTGTTTGCGGGGGTTGAGCTCTGGCTCTTTGGTCCCGCCTCTCAACCGTCAATCAACAGGTGTACAGATTCCTGAGCCTATCGGGCTCTATCATACCTACATTTGAAACTGTGTATGGAGTCAGCCTCCACCACATCACCCCCTAATGCATTCCATTTGTCAACCACTCTGACACTAAAAAAGTTCTTTCTAATATATCTGTGGCTCATTTGGGCACTCAGTTTCCACCTGTGTCCCCTTGTGCGTGTTCCCCTTGTGTTAAATAGACTGTCTTTATCTACCCTATCAATTCCCTTCAGAATCTTGAATGTGGTGATCATGTCCCCCCTAACTCTTCTGTCTTCCAGCGAAGTGAGGTTTAATTCCCGTAGTCTCTCCTCGGAGCTCATACCTCTCAGCTCGGGTACTAGTCTGGTGGCAAACCTTTGAACCTTTTCCAGTTTAGTCTTATCCTTGACTAGATATGGACTCCATGCTGGGTGTGTGTGTGTGTGTGTGTGTGTGTGTGTGTGTGTGTGTGTGTGTGTGTGTGTGTGTGTGTGTGTGTGTGTGTGTGTGTGTGTGTGTGTGTGTGTGTGTGTGAAAACCAATGAGGTGACAGCTACGATAATTGACCAATGGCTGAACATAAAACAACAACAGCCAAGCTTCTCATACTCTATTCCAATTCAAAATAACATTTGTTCAGAATGCTGAACTTCTGGTCACTGAAGTGTCCTTGTCAATCAACGTACAACAATCATCGTAGCATTGTTGTACGGCCCATGTCATGCTCTGTACGATGACAGCAAACATGACCTCGGCCTCCAGGGCCTCGTAGCCTGGTGGATAGCGCGCAGGACTCGTAATTCTGTGGCGCGGGTTCGATTCCCGCACGAGGCAGAAACAAATGGGCAAAGTTTCTTTCACCCTGAATGCCCCTGTTACCTAGCAGTAAATAGGTACCTGGGTGTTAGTCAGCTGTCACGGGCTGCTTCCTGGGGGTGGAGGCCTGGTCAAGGACCGGGCCGCGGGGACACCAAAGCCCCGAAATCAACTCAAGATAACCTCAAGATGACGATCCTAGCTGCAAAATCAAGTAGTTAAGGACTGTGCACATGAGTGTACAAGGCAACAAAATCCACTCCATTGTTGCTATCGTGCACAATCGTTTGCACTCTAGGCAATGTGAATTCATAAACAATCCCAATTACCTTTGCCTGCTATCTGGTAATAAGGTCCAGATAGCGTGTCATCAAGTTCTGACCTTATTTGCTCTCTCAACACCTTAACTTGCCTTTTTCTTAAGATAAATATATTCCTAAAATGTAGTAAATGTTGTAAATTGTGGACTTAGCAAACACTTTCTGGAAGAACAACTTTCAGCGGGATGTAGCACTAAACTGCTGTAGGTGTAGCATTTTATTATTAAAAATAAAGGATTACATTTTCAAAGCAAGTATCGCCTATCAATTTAGCAGTGACAACTGTTTCACCAGCCTGTTATGACTCTTCCTTTTTACAGATGACAACTGAGGTGTTCCTGGAGCTGAGTGTTAGTCGCCGATGTCTGGGTCGTGTCTATATCAAGCTGTGCAATGACAAGGATATGGCAGAGTTGTTCCTGTCTAAGTGCCTCGGCACTCTAAGTGCATCCTTTCCTTGGACCTCCTTAAGTATGTTAAGTAATTCCAGCAAAAGCATCCAATGCCTTGCCTTTTCACATCAAATTAAGCGAAGCGTGCCTGATTGGTACAAAGCCTCAAGCGAAGGACAGGATATGGGCACAGACACAGAATCTAAAATTGAAGGCACAGTGGCGGTACTTGAAACAGAATCTAAAGTATACCAATTCTGTATACTCATTAAATGTGCAAGCAAGGTTCGCAGAGAGTCCTTCGGCAGGGTGTCCTCAGGGTTGAAGGTGGTCCTGGATGCCATTCGCCAAGACCCCAAGTCCCTGATCACCATCACTAACTGTGGTCTCGTTGTTGACGACTTCAGTGCCCAAGGCCTCTAACCTGTTTATGGCCTGTTTATGATAACCAAGGCCTGTTTATGATAACCTGTATCATAAACCTCCCTCCGTCACCTCTCAGTGACCTCGTGATCCCTGATAACTGTTAAGAATCAGTAAGCCTTGATACTGACATTTATCGTGATAAACATTAACATTACTTATTTCACTCAATCAGTTATGTGGAGGTCGATATTACATCCTATTGTTTTCCTGAGTATTTTGTTTTGTTGACTGTAGTATGCTGGCATGTGCCTGTAGGGTATATTTCTTTGGTGATTATGTGGGTTTATTCATGTGAGTAGTCAGTTTTCATCTCGTGGGGGGAATACCCATATAAGAACATATTTACACCAGCACTGACGCACAGGAGACATCTCCCGTCACGCAGGGTGCAGTCGCACCTCCACAGATCTCCAGTATCATCTATTAATACTGGTAATGGCTCAAAAGGGGCACCACTTACGGGCTATTCATGCCCGTGCCACCTCTTGGGTGGCTTAATCTTCATCAATCAATCAATCAGCACTGATGCATTCATTGTACCCAGGTTAGCATCATGATTCACCCCTGTTATTATATTTTGATTATTGTATGTAAATTTTTGTATTTACACCTTATTAGAGATAAATGTATTTAATATTGTTTGTAAGTATTACTCCCAGCTAACAGAGTATCTGAGAGTATACATGTGGGTCTTTGTTTGGTAACTTGTAGATGCTACACCGGGTCGGCGTATTACGCATGCCCGAAACGCTTTGCGTAATAGTGGCTTTAGGCATTGTATGTACTAGCTCTACCTATAAGTTAAACAATCCTTGTAAATATTTATTGTATGTATGTACCTTACCTAAATTATTGTATTGTATTAGGTAGCCAGTAGCGTGGGTAGAGCTGCCTGGAGTAGACCTATAGTTGTAAGATAAGTCTTTGGAGCCTGTTTTTTTTGTTCAATTAACATACCTAATTATCTGGCTAGACCATTATTTGCATACACAACTATTCATGTATAGATTAATCAAGTGATCAGTGATTATTAGGTGTTATTTCACCTTATTATTGTCATTTAAATATTTCTGGAGATACCTAGTACTTGAGTTTCATTTTTATTGTTTGTTCTTTGTTATCCCTTCATGAAGTATACTGATATGTTTGTGAAGCAATCGTCTTAATTCATCCCAAGACAATTGATATTGGCAAGGCAGAATTTACTAATTATTTACGACTGCAAGGCACATGAATCTCATCCATATGCATAAGAGTTATAACAATGACCTTTCACATCGCCATAGTCAGTGGTGCTTAACTTGGTGTGTCTCCTGAGTGTGTGTGGGGGGGGGGGGATGAGGGGAAGCAAGAGGTCCTCTATGGGGATCCACCTCAGTGAGTGGGTCCTTGATGTGGTGAGAAGGCTCTCGTGTGCTGGTCGTGGGTGGGTGTGGGTGGCAGAAAAGGAGCCACCGACACCCACCACTAATGAACCCACCCACCACTAATGAACCCACCCACCACTAATGAACCCACCCACCACTAATGAACCCACCCACCACTCAAGTGAAATACACACCCTTGTATTTACGGCGCCTGGAGACCTACTCATTCTCCATTGTTCCTTTATCTGGTTGTTTGAGCTACCCTACGTTCTCTATCCCACCTTCCTCAGGCCCAAAAGTGTTCGCCTTATAAACCCAACACCTCCACCAGCCCTCCTCGCTACCCGGCGCCCAAAAGACGTGAGACCGCGGGTGATTCTCTCGTGTCACTGAATGCCGTTTTCGCGTCGCTTCTTTATCTCTTCGCTCTTCTTTGTCGACTATGAGCCACTTCGACTCTCGGATCAGTTGTCCTCCTCAGTCCTCTCCTGTCTTCTGGCCCTCCTCGGCATGTGACTGTCCGGACTGATATCCGCCGTCTAAACAACCGTTCTCGCGCGTCGTCCGCTCTTTCATTCTCCCTCTCCGCCTGAGGAGACAGTAGATTAATTGATTGATTGATGAAGATTAAGCCACCCAAGAGGTGGCACGGGCATGAATAGCCCGTAAGTGGTACAATTTTTTTTCTCAGTATTCTGAGTTTGCATTTAACCATCAAGCTGTTATCGCGGGGGAGGATACTGCTTCACAGTCTTTATGAGGGTGTCCAGCTGCTGAACACTAGACAGTAGCTGTCTCACAGGACTTTAACGCTTCTGCACCTGTCTCTTGGAAACGTAGGCCTGGTTCCTGTCTTCCTCCCTGACAGGTAAGGAGGCATTAGTCGTCCTCCCAACTCCTCCTGTCTCGGCAGCAGAGACGGTCCCAGAGCTGCTCTCTAGGTTCCGAACGATGTTCCATTTCTTCTCCTCCTTATTAAAATCGTGCACCTCCTTATAGAATGTCCCGATTTTCAGGATGTTGCTCTGTCTTGCTTTCCTAATGTCCCTAGGGGTCATTTGCCGCTCGATAATTCACTTGGTGAATCAGATACCTTGGCATCGGTCGCGCTCACTTGCCTCGGTCGCTTTGTGTGTTTTGGTTCTTGTATTGGTATCTTGAATGGTGTTTAGCGCCTTTTAGATATCCGGCGACACAGAATGAGTCAAACAGTCTTCCCAGCTTGGCTCCTTATTTTGATAATTATGTACTAACTCTGGGAGGGTGCGAGAGGTCCTCTGAGTGGGGGTGCAAAACATGGCAGTTTTTAGTACTGAAGTAATTGTGGCTAAAATTATAACCACAGATTAAGAACAGGCATCTGAGAATAACTTATGTACCCCTGTCTTATCATAGCTGAATATATATATATTAATATGAAATGCATGAGCAGGAACATATATTTTGAGAACCAAAGGGGTTAATGAACATATATGTTGAGAACCAAAGGGGTTAACGAACATATATGTTGAGAACCAAAGGGGTTAATGAACATATATATTGAGAACCAAAGGGGTTAACGAACATATATGTTGAGAACCAAAGGGGTTAATGAACATATATATTGAGAACCAAAGGGGTTAACGAACATATATGTTGAGAACCAAAGGGGTTAATGAACATATATATTGAGAACCAAAGGGGTTAACGAACATATATATTGAGAACCAAAGGGGTTAGCGAACATATATGTTGAGAACCAAAGGGGTTAATGAACATATATGTTGAGAACCAAAGGGGTTAATGAACATAAATGTTGAGAACCAAAGACATGGACGCTGTCTCAACAGGTTAAGAACAACTGCCATCATGGGATGAAGAGGCACTCTAGGGACAGCAAATTTCATCTGTAAGTGTTTTAATATAATTTGATAACAGATAATGTTTCGTTGATAACAGATAATGTTTCGCTAATAAGGGCTTTAAGACATTGTTTTCTCATTCTCGACTTGAGAATGGTCCAGGACGGACCGAAACGTCGTCGTCCCTTCACCTTCTAGTGTGTGGTCTGGTCAACACACTTTTTTGTAAATATTTGTCAACACAATGTATTCCATTGTATGCATATCTGTATACATATAATACATAATGTATACATTGTATACATATGGTGGTCTGTCATACAACCTTTATCCCTATACTTTGTATTCACAATTTTCAGAAGACTGCTTCTCTCTCCTTTCCCCTGTTTGTTAACTTATGATAATTTTAATTACATTAGACTTGCTACTGTTTAGTGAGTTCATGTCTTTCTGATTTTCTGTGCTGCTCTTTATTAGCAAATGTATTTTGTGTTACTGTGTAGTTGTCACTTTGCTTTGTGTACTTAATTTTCTCTGTTGTATTCGATTTATTTTTAGAGTAATAATGTTTGATTTATAAACGATATATTACAGAGTTGTATAAAAATTTTACATAGTAAATGTTCGTGTATTTATTATTTTATAAAGCTTCTGAATTGTTCTTCCAAAGGGTATTGAAAGTAAATACAGAAACACGTGTTATGATGTATAGTGTACATGATACACTGAACTGTACCCTGTTTATTGGTGTATACACACTGGGAGTTGTACCCTATTTATCGGTGAATATACACTATGTTGATTTTATTATTCCTCGACTGTATCTCGGACTTAATTATAGTCGTTGGTCGGTCAGTAAGCTATTGTGGCCTTAATAATCCTCCAAACGTTGGTCTTAAGCCCAACACCATACCAGAAGTAAGAGCCTGAATATTAATATCGATATAGTTCTTAAATACCACAGTGTACCTGTGTGTACTATCTGTATATGTATCTTTTATCTTGTATCGTGTACTATATGTATATAACCGTGTATCTTTTAGGTGTATTCCTGTATTTCATGTGTGATACTTGTACTGCACGTGTGAGGAATTTCTAGCAGGACTTGACCCCTAATTGTGAACTGGACGGGCCAGCTATCAAATCAGAAATGATAAAAAATGATTAATACTTGAAATTGCTTTGAGTCCTGTCAAAGAACTTTTCCGCATTGCCTCAATTGAATTTTGTGAATAAGAATAATTATTCATACAGGATTTTGATGTGAAAAAATGTCCATAATGAAAGAATGAACGTGTTAATAACAGGTAACGAGCGATGTACTAATCTCTGTATGTTAATACTGGACCAAAGTATAGATTTGGATTGTATTTGTAGTGTTAGACTTGAGCATCGTTGCTGTGGGCCGGGATTCACAACATTAAATCCGATGTCTTAAAACATTCACTGTGTATGATATCTTGAGGTTATCTTGAGATGATTTCGGGGCTTTTTAGTGTCCCCGCGGCCCGGTCCTCGACCAGGCCTCCACCCCCAGGAAGCAGCCCGTGACAGCTGACTAACACCCAGGTACCTATTTTACTGCTAGGTAACAGGGGCATAGGGTGAAAGAAACTCTGCCCAATATTTCTCGCCGGCGCCTGGGATCGAACCCAGGACCACAGGATCACAAGTCCAGCGTGCTGTCCGCTCGGCCGACCGGCTCCCAAAATGGTCATGATTAAGACCATTTGCGGCCCACTGGGAGGCTTTTGACCCACAGGATCACTTTAGGGTTCACAATCAACTAGTCCCAAACAATCACCTCACCCATGTACACCTACAAGATCTGAACCTCTTACCTCGACTTGTCTCACGGGCTCGCCATAGCCCGTGCTACATGGACATTTCGTTCTGAATAGCTAAATATAGAACAACAACCTCGACTTGTCAACGTGTTCCCTCGTTGCTAAACACTCTAAAGAAGTACTTCGAGGTCGTCCTCAGAGCCCAAGGTCATTAGTATTATGCCTCGAGCGTCTACCCTGACGCATAGGTTCGAATCCTCTTAATGGCTCCTACTGATTTTCTCAATAATAATAATAATAATAATTATAATAATAATTATATATATGAGATAATACAATTTTATATAACTGAAAAATACTAATATATATTAGGCTTTGGGAACGCGACTAATGGACTCATGACCTTGATAATGGGTTAACACTAATATGTTAGTGTTATATAATATGCTAATATGATAATATGTGAACACTACTCAAGAGATACACCCCAGAGGTGAATATCTTGCTTCTCGGTGAACACACACCCAACAGACTACTTCAGTTCCCCCTTAACGGTGTCTACACACTAAGAAAACGTACCAAAAACACCACTTGGACCAAATTATCTTAATTAAGTCTTAAATTATCTTAATTAAGTCTTAAATTATCTTAATTAAGTCTTAAATTATCTTAATTAAGTCTTAAATTATCTTAATTAAGTCTTAAATTATCTTAATTAAGTCTTAAATTATCTTAATT